AAGTATGTCAGACAAAGCTTCAGAATCCTTGACTCCAGGGAACATTCTGGCTTAATCCTCTCCAGGACAAATCTGTTTGTTCTCCTAGCAGTCCATATTCAACACTCTTCTCCAGCACCACAACTCAAAGGCATCAATTCTCTTTCTATCATCTCTATTCACTGTCCAACTGGAGGTAAGGCTTTTAAAACTACATCTCACATACTTAGGACATGTTGCCAGGAAGGATCAGTTCTTGTGGAAGGACAGCATGCTTAGGAAGACACACAAAACAATAAACATTATTACAAATATAATAAGGTTTTTGAAAAAAAGTTTCTCATCTTACCCTGTCTAGTTCCAGTGTAAACTTCTGATCCCATGACTGATTGGAAATGGGTTTCCAGCTTGTTTGACCAGCTACGGTATTATCTAGCTTCAAAACAGCGCACACATCATCTAAAATGAGAATATATATAACTTTTAAAAATACAAGTACTATTTTTATAGCAACAAGTTTTTATTAATCTTTGAAAGAGTTTTCATAATTAATGCTGAAGCTTTCGAATTGCAAAGTCTCCTGAATTGTTCTCTGTATTTAAAAAAAAACACAACAAAACCCCCACAAAAATGTATTAACTGCTACCTACTCTGTTTATACTAGAATGTGTCAAAGATAGAGCTGGTGGCAGGTGTCTGCAATACTGTGTATGTGTATCAGTATCAATGAGATGGCTTTGTCCTCCTCTATAGTTGCTATTTCCAACATTAAGAATTGTTAACTTAGTTCTGTATTTTCACAAAACACCACATGCCCCAAAGCCTCTCTCTTTTTACAGAGAGACACACTCCCATATTCTACATTTTTATCATAATATACATTTTTATTTACTACCCTCAAAGTATTTTGTGACCCTCTTACATGTTACTGGAAATTTTCCACAAACCTCACTTCCATTTATTATTGGGATACCAGGTTGCTATCAATAAATACGGTTGTTTCTCTCTTTCATAGTCACTGACCCAGATCAGAGTCATAACTGACCTTTGAGCAGACTTCCAAGGTTGTCAATGACAGAGAAGAATAGTACCCATCTTTCTCCCACAAAGTAGGCGGTGGATTAGAAATGTCAAAGCATGGCCTTGGATTAGCAGCATAACTCTCTACAGACCATGCCACCAGAGCTTCCTAGTGCTTTCTACAGTAATCATCAAAATATCAATGTTTAGTTTGGAAGTGTCCCAAAACCATTTATGGGATCAAGAAATATCAATATTAAAATACAGCTTTCATAAGCTTTGTGTATGTTTATTTGGCATAAAGAACAATGTTCAATATTTCATCCTTTTGTAAAAGTTAATGCCTTATATCATGGTTTTATGATATACTTCTAATAGAGTAAATTTTGTTGCCTTTGTTATTTTCCTGTCATTGTGGCTTTTTATATTGTAAAGTTAAAATGTGGAAATCTTAATTTTAAAGGTTTTTTTGTGAATATTCTCAATCATCTCTGTTCTCAATGTTAAGTGTCTTATAAAAGTTCTTTAAATTGTTATATAAATTATGTGAAAAAATTTTGTTACTGAACTGGACAAGTCATCAGTTTTTAGGAGATTTCGACTACTTCCACTTCTATTTTTACTCGTTCTGCTCATGAACGATGATCTTGTTTCACTTGGACTCCAGCCAGGTAGAACCACTGATGCTGCTTTTGATCGTCCGGGGACATTTTCTAGGATATCTTGGCAGCCCATAAGACGAACTTCCAGGGTACCTGTTAGCAAACAGAAAAAAACCCTATTTTTACTATAAAGAATTAAGTATTTGTTAAACTATTTTCTTAAAATAAATCCCACAAAACAATACCCTCAAGAAAGAATATGCTTAAATAATAAACTATTTTTTCAGAGGAAATTTTTCTTATTATAATTAGAGAAATTAAATAAAAACTCACAATAAGGCAATCAGAAGAAATGTTATGGAAAGGCAAGAGTATCTCTCAAGAGCTGTCAGTAGGGAACAAAATGGAATACTTATATACTTGATCATTTATAGAATCATACAGAGCATACAATAGGGTAAAATGAAAGTCAAATAATATGTTTATTGCAATAAACATGGAAAACAGAAACAAGGAAACTTAACCTGCAAATTAATACTTCTATTTAGCTATTGTTAGATGTCACTGAGAATGGTATAAAGACCCTAAAAACACTAAACACTGTCCTATCCTCATCCTTTCTATATTTAGTATTATATCTAACATTCATATTTAGTAGTTATAATTAACATAGGAAAGAATTTCTTCTCTTTAATAAAGAAACGTGTGGGGTTTTTATTCTTTTTCTATTGTGGTTGGTGTTGGTGTTATGTGCCATCGAGTCACCTGCGACCCATAGCGACTTTCTGTACAATAGCTCAAAACCGTGCCCTGTCCTGAGCCAGTCTACACACTAACCCTCAGTTTCTGTATCAATCGATCTCATCTGGGGTCTTCCTCTTGGGTGCTGTTCCTCCACTCTTCTGAGCATGATGCCCTTCTCCAAATATCAGTCCCTCCTGGCCACGTGACCAAAGTATGTGAGCTGGAGCTTCAAAATCCTAGCCTCTTAGTAGAAATTTGGTTTCACTCTCTCCAAGACAGACCTTTTTTTTTTCTTACGAGCCCATGGTTTGTTCAAGACTCTTCTCCAGCACTACAATTTGAAAACATCAATTCTTCTGTCATCCTTAGTCACTGTCCAACTCTCTAAAACATAACAAATAATTGAGAAGACCATGGCCTGGATTAGGTACACTTTTGTATCTAGACTGACATCATTGCTCTTCAGCACTCTGGAGAGGCCGATGACAACAGATTTTTTCCCAACGCAATTCATCTTTTGATTTCCTGACTGCTGGTGTTAATTAAGAGTGCTGACTGTGCAGCTGGGGAAGCTGTAATTATTAGCAACCTCAATCTCTTCTCCATATGTAATGGTGCTGCCAACTGGCCCAGTGGTGAGAATCTTTGTCTTCTTGATGTTGAACTTCAATCCACTCCTTGAACTTCTGTAGCAAGGGCTTCAGGTCCTGTTCAGTTTCAGAAAGCAGGGCTATGTCATCTGCATAACAGATTGTTGATGAGTCTTTCTCCAATCCTGATGCCACATTGCTCCTCACAAAGCCCTGCTCCTCAAATGACCTCTTCTACATATAGATTGAAAAGGTATGGAGACAACATTCCTGATACACTCCTTTCCTGGTTTTGAACCATACAGAGTGTTTCCTTGCTCTGTTCTGAGGACTGTTCCTGGTCCAAGTATAGGTTTGCATACGCACAATTAGTTCTGGGTTTCCCATTCTCCTCAAGGTTAGCCACAATTTGTTGTGATCCACAATCAAATGCCTTTACATAATCAATGAAACACAGACATTCTTTTGGTACTCTGCTTTATGCCAAGATCCATTTTACACTGGCAATAATGTCTCTAGTGCCACAACCTCTTCTAAACCCAGTTTGTATTTCTGGTACTAGAATTGCAAACTATCTTCATTTCCAACTGTTTATTTGTAAAGTTAATTAAATGCAATTTCCTTAAGCATAAAAATACTACAGGTGTTTATGGAAAAAGAAAAATTTCCGTTAGGTCACTTTAGCATATTAGAAATACCAAATGGTACTTTAGTAGTATGTTGTTGTTGTTGTGTACAGTAGAGTCAGAACTGACCCATAACTGGACCTCCAGTGGGTTTTTAGAGGCAGTTAATCGCACATGAGCAGACTGCCCATCTTTCTCCCACAGAGAAGCTAGTGGACTTGAACCATGTGCCTTCAAGATTGCAGCGCAGCTTCATGCCAGTAGGCCATCATAACTCCCTATACCAGCACTCAGTAGTACACACAGCACTACATTTTAGGAAGAGCACTTCCAGGTAAGGGTTGTTCCATTAATGTTGAAATGGAAAATTATTTAAAATTTGTTAAAAATTATTTCGTGAACAACACAAGGACCAACCTTGGGGGAAAAAAAATCTGCACACAATCTACAGGTGATCCTTAAGTGGTATTGGTTTGGCCTGTACAGGTCCACTTACACTGTGTTCAGTGTGTCACGAATTGGCAATGTTTAGACAGCTAGTACAAAATAAAGCCCCTGCCTAATCCTCAAATAACAGTAACAAATATCCACTAAATGTTCTGTGCTAGAGGCAAGGATGAAATTTAAGTATATGTTCTAATTTTTATTTAAAAAACCTCAACATTCAAGTGGAATGGAAGAAGTATTTCTATTTGTAGATGACATATGACATATATTAGTTAGTTGTAGCCCTGTATTGCAGAAATTAGTGAATTTACAGAAGTAGTCTTAAGAGAGCTAATAAATGAAATCAGTAAAACTGAAAGAACAAGATTCAACATGAAAAAATAAGCTGTATTTCCCTCTCCAAGCAATAAACCTTGATAAAAGAGCCTTGATAGTGCACTTTGCTGAGAACCACACAGTAGTTGGAAACTACTAGTTGTTCTGAAGGAGAGAAGTGAAACAATATGCTTCCATAAAGGTTAAAGGTTATAGTCTTGGAAACTCTACAGGATCATTCATTTCTAAGCTGGTCCTATAGGGTCACTTTGAGTAGAAACTGACAGGCCAGCAAAAGGTTTTGTTTCATTTAGTGTTCATGGAAACAAAGTACAAATGGAAATACAAAATCTATGTAAACGCTCATTAAAATGAATTAAAAAAGTGAAATATAATACAAAATCTTATGAAGAATTTAAAAAGTTTTTAAAAAATAAAATGGAAAAATAAAAATTTCAGTTAGTTGTAAACAATTTTCTTTACAATCATAACGAATAAAATAGTTAAGAATAAATCTAGCCAAAGAAGTAGAAGAGTTGTACTCTTAAAATCATAAAACATTCCCAAAAGAAAGAAGATTGTTATGAATGTAAAGATAGCTTATTGGGTTTATGGACTGCAAGACTTAATACTGTGAAGATGGCAGTACTTCTTAAAGAGATTACATATTCACTGTAATTTCTGTGAAAAACTCACCAGAATATTTAGCAGAATGTAAAATTGCATGGAATTGCATGAGACTCTGAATAGTAAAATAATTTTCAAATAGAAGAATGAAGCTGGAAGACTCACACTTTTAATTTCATTATTTACTACAAAGCAACAGTAATCAAAACAATGTAGTACTGGCACAAAGATAGGCATACATATCAAAGGAACAGAAGTGTGAGTCCACCAGTAAGAAAGCCACTCATCTTTCCTTCAATTTTTTTTTTTTAAAGAAACAAGAGGGGCAAAATCACTGAGGCGAGAAAAACAGTATCTTCAACAAGCAATGCTGAACAACTAGATAGCTACATTCAAAACAATGAACATAAACTCTTTAATACATACCACACATAAAAATCAATGAAAAATGGATCAGAGACTAAAATATAGGAGGTTAGAAATTCTTTGGGAGTAAATAGAGGTAAATTTTCATGATCTTGGATTTAGCACTTATTTGTTACGATAGTAAAACAAAACATCCAATGCAACAAAAAAGTATAAAATTTTAATGCAACAAATATCCAGAGTAAAATGACAAAGCTTTAAAGGAGAAAATAACTAAAAAACCTGTTTTTCTGATAAGGTTATAAATGCCCAGCATATTAAGAACATTTACTAACCAACAAAAAGACAAGCAATCTAATTTGAATATGAACTTGAACAGACATTTTTCAAAAAAAGATTAAGAGTAGAACAGACTGAGCCCAAAGCTTTCCTAGGCTGTACCCTTCATGGAAGCAGACTGCCAGTTCTCTTCTCCTGTACAGATGCTGGTGAATTCAAAGCACCAACCTTTCAGTGGGCAGCCAAGCTCTTAATCATTGAAACCTTCATGTTACTGTTAAGTATGTAAAGCAGTGCAATCATTTAGAGAATAGCTTGGTAGTTTTTCTGTAGTTAAATGCCCAAGAGAAAAATTTTTTATTACAAACTTATTTCTCCTCCTAAGCACAAAAACATGTTGTATAACCATGACAGAATATAATTCAGCTATAAAAAAGGATGAAGTATTGATATGCTAATACAAATTTATTTTTTAAAACATTAAGGAAGTCAGGCATAAAATGTCAAGTATGGTATGATTCCATTTATATAAAGTATCTAGAATAGACAAATTCACAGAGACAGAAATAGCTTAGTTAGTGGTTACCAGTGGCTATACGAAAGGAGAAATGAGGAATGACTTCTGAGTGGGTACAGGTTTTCCTACTGGGCTATAAAAATGTTTTGGAGCCAGAAAGTATTAACAGTTACACAACAACATGAATGTACTAAATGATACAGACTTATATAGTTTAAAAGGTAAATTTTTATGGGTATTTTACCAGTTTTAAAACAAGCTGTGTAACACCCTATCTCGCACTTCTCACCTCAGTTTATTTAAACAAAACTAGACATGGATCGAAGAACCCACAAGGAATACAAGCTACATACCTGTTAATGCTGCTGGTTTAGATAGTGTACTATATTGGTTTTGGGTAGATATCGTACTTTGACGTGCACTAAATGTTGGTGACGTGACAAGCGATAACTCTTCAATTATAACACTGCTTTTGGGATGATTCCTGGGAAGTTCATTTAATCTTTGCTCTAATGAGTATTTTAAAAGGTCTAGTTTCTGACTTGATTCATTAAATCTTGCTTGGGCCTTAAACAGGAAAGACAATTGTTACCATATGAATAATCACATTCTTTGAGTAATTTACTTAGTAAATACATGAAAAGTTAGATTTAAAATTACTTCTGAAAGTGCTTTTCTGTCTGTAACTTTTCCTGAGCCAAGTAATTTCATTACATTCTTTGCACCTTCTGCAACTGCAAATTCTATCCTAAAATGATGCCTTAATTCTTCCATGCGAAGTTCAAGAGGACTTATCACAGGTTTTGCTAAATGGGGAAAAAACAAACAACAAACTTAAGGAAAAAGTAACCAATTCTCGTAACATTAATACAAAATTTATCCTTAAAGAAAAAAACACTGAAACAGTATTGTATTTAATAAATAAAATGATGAAATTCAGTTTTCCATTTTAGCTATCAGGTATCTAAAAAATTTTTTTAACTATATAATTGAGCTTGAAACAGTTTCTACTTACACTTTTAACAACTAATCTTAAAGATTCCCTCTGGAACTTAAAAAAAACAAAACACTACATAAAGGAACAACACATTTTTAATAAAAATATCCATTTTAAGTATCTAAAAGCCTAGCAAAATAAAAAAATAATTCCAAATGGATTATTTCCTTTAAATAGGAGGAGCAAATATTTGAAGATATGTATATATTTTGTAAAGAGTGTAAAACACAAATAAAAAATATAATGACTTCTCTTCTTTAATTTTGAACTGCCTCTTTAACACGTGTGTTGAATACTGTATTTTAATACATTTCTGACAATAATAACAGAGGAAGCTGGCAATTTATCTCTAGTCCATTACCATTATCAAAAGCCAATTCATTGGTCTGGACTGCCTGAAGAATCTGCATTCTTATGACTTGTATTTTTGTCTTGCTGTCCTGGAGCATTTGCTGAGCTGTACCATGGAGTTTCCGATCCTATTTTAAAAAATAAAACAAAGAAAGAAAGAAAGAAAAAAGGAATTTGAAAATCTAAGCATATATGTAGAGAAAATATTTTGAGTTTTCAAGTAACATTCAAAAAAGAAACAACTGAAAAAGTTAATGAATACACTGAATATTGATGGGGTTAGGGAGGGAAATGTGCAACAAAGGAAAGAATGAAAATCCAACTTTGCTGTAAACTTTCATTAAAATTACAATGAAAAAAAAGAGGATCATTCTGGTTGTGTGACTTCCAAGCCAAATTGGTTCATTTTTCTAGTTGATGTTATGTATCACTCATTGAGAACTAACCCATAGCTGACTCTTCTATGGGTTTTCAGAGGGATTTAATTCCCCCAGGGGGAGACTCCCCATCTTTCTCCCACAGAGCTGCTGGTGGATTTGAACCTCAAACCTTCAGACTGGTAGCACAACTCCTTATCACCAAGCCACCAGAGATCCTATTCTTCTAGCAATCCAAGTTATATTAAATATTGTCTGTCAAAACCTTTGTTAGAATACATTCTTTTTCATTCTTCTTCATTAATTGTCCCATTTTCCTACATCTCTCTTTTCTTTCACTGCTGCAGAACTGGGTCTAACTTACAGCTGACCCTTCATTGGGTTTCCAGAACTGTAAATCGCAAGGCTCCTCTTTCTCCTTCAAAATGTCTGGTGGATTTGAACCATTAGAGAAAAGCAACCTTTAGTTTAACAGCATAACTCACTACAGACTACAACACCTGTGCTCTGTATGAGGAGACCGAAAATAAGATGGTTTGGCAGTCAAGTATATTTTAGTCCTCAAATGACATACTTGTAGGGAGCTCTGGTAGCCTAGTGGCAAAAAGCTGCACTGTAATCCCAGAGGTATGCAGTTCAAATCCACCAGATGATAGCTGGAGAAGGAGGCAATCTCTTCCTGTACCCATCAAATATGATTTGATGGTACACACACCAGTCACTTGGTTTTCAAATACTAGCACCCCTCAAAAGATGTCTGTGTCCTATTCCCAAAAGCCTATGAATGTGCAACCTTACACAGAAAAAATGAAATTAATGTTGCAGATGGAATTATGGTTGTTAATTAATTGTCCCTATAATATAGAGTATTCTACATTATCTGAACATTATCTACATTATCATGGTTTCAAGCTGTATGCTGAACTAATAATTCAAGAGTCTAGAGAAGAAGAATGTGGCATCAGGATTGGATGAAGACTCAACAACCTACATTATACATATGATACAACCTTGCTTACAGAATGTTAAGAGAACTTGAAGTACTTGCTGTGAAGATCAAAGACTATAGAGTTCAATATGGATTCTATCTCAAAATCAAGAAAACAAAATTTTTTACCAACGCACCAACAGACATCATCATGAGTAAAGAAAGAGACTGAAGTTGTCAATGATTTTCTTTTACTTAGATCCACAATTAACACCCAGAAGTCATGACATCTAAAGGAGTGTTGCATTGAAGAAATCTATTGTCAAGGACCTCTCTAAAGTGCTAAAGAGCAAGTATGTCAATTTAAGTACCAAGATGTACTTGGTCCAAGTCTCTGTACTTCCATTTGCTTTCTATTTCTATGTATCTGAAGGTTGGCCAGTGAATAAGATAGACAGAAAAAGGGATGCCTTAGAATTGCGATGTTGGAGAAGCATACAAGACATCTTATGGACTGCCCAAAGAAGAAATAAATCTGTCTTGGAGAAGTACAACCAAGGTGCTCCTTAGAGGGAAGGAGAGTGAAGAAACTTTGTCTCACATATTTTGGGCCTGTTGTCAGGAGGGGCCAATTCTTGGAAAAAAGGCATTATACTAGGCAGGCTGAAGTGTCTCTCTGAGAAGGTGGTCATCAAAAGATAGACTGATACAGTGACTGTAACAAAGAGCCTGAGCATATGAGAAATTGTGAAGATGGGAAGGACAAGGCAAGGTTCAGATCTTTTGTTCATAGGGTTGCTATTGAGTCACAGCCAATTAAATGGAAACAAGATATGAGTTGGGCCAGTATAAATAATCTCAAGCATCCTTAACTGTGAAAAGGGGAGGCAGAACTGGTAGTCAAAGTAATGTGATGTAAAAAAAACCAAGATACTGCTGACTTTGATGATAGGGAAAGAGGGGTCATAAACCAAGGAATAAGGGCAGTCTCAAAAAGATAGAAAAGATAGGCTCTTTCCTAAAACCTCCATAAGGAAATGCTGCCCTACTGACACCATAATTTTAAGCCAGTGAAAAGTAATTCAGACTTAACAACAAAGTTGCTGTGAACTGTATCGTCAATTCTGACTTTGAGTGCCCTACTTCTATCCCTTTAGCACGGAGTAGAACTGCCCCTCATTGTCTCCTAGGTTGGAACCTAGGAGCAGATTACCAGGTCGTTTGTTCTGTGGATCTGTCAGTGAGTCTGAACCCTACACCTTTTCATTAGCAGCCAAGTGCTTAGTCATTATGGTACCAGAGTTTATTAACTACAAAGTGGAAGATAACAAGTCTGTGTTGTTTTAAGCTATTTATTTTGTGGCAATTGGCTCCAGCAGCCACAAGAACAAATACAGAAAGAAAAGTAGGAAGGGCCAGAAGTTATTGCCATCTCTTGGTTTGATGAGTTAGAAGGTCTGAAACTCTGGTAGGCTTTTATTCACAAAAGAAATAGTATGTAAATAAAATTAAGCACCAACATAGGTATATTTATCCACAGTAAAAGTAAATTGTTGAATATTATTTAATATTTATATTCTTATCACTATGGTATTGTGGTATTATTATGGTATTAATAGTCATTGAGTTGGCTGTCAACATTTGGCCACTTCCAGCACTATAAAAGAAAGCGCTGCCAGGCTCTGCATTTTACAGGCAGATTTTTGGAAGTGTATGACTGATTACTAATACTTTCTTCCTAGACTATCCTATTCTTGAAGCTCTCCTGAAACCTGTTTAGTATCATAGCAGCATTGACACTGGTGGTGACTGAACCCAAGCTGTGCTAGTCAGAAATCAAACCTAGTATCCTGCATAGAAAGTGAGAATTCTACCACTGAACCACTGCTGACCTCTTTTCACTGAGGTAAAATCACTGCATCTACCTGGTCCCACGCCATGTCACTACAAATGTCACCCAAATTAAAGATTTGAAATATAGTTTGTATTTCTTGGAGATGAAACTGGATTAAGATTAAAACTTAGTATTCTAAAACTCAAAAATTTGAAAGGTTTAAATATATTTTGCAATCAGACAGCCCAATTTTATTTCTGCGTAAACATGGCCCAGTTATCACATAGACATCAAATTATTGAAAGCATGAAACTGACAAGTGCTGTTAGGTGCGATGGAGTTGGCTTTGAACCTTTGAACAAAACCCTACCTGATGGTGCACTTTGCTCAAAATTTCTGCTGTGCCTAAGTCTATAACTATAGCCATTCTATGTCATCATATCTCACTGAAAGTTTCTCTTTTTTGTTGAACCCTATTACACCAAGTATGATGCCATTCACCAAGAACTGGTTTCTCCTGATGACATGCATAAAGTATGTCAGATGAAGTCCTGCTATCCTTGCTTCCAAGGAGAACTTTAGCTGGACTTTTCCTTAAGATTTGTTTTATAGTCTAGTAGGCCATGACACATTCAGTATTCTTTTTTTCTACTTGGAATACCTAAAAATATGCATTAATTCTTCTCCAGTTTTCCCCTCCCACTGTCTAACTTTCATAAGCCAACGAGGTGAATGAGAATAGCACGGTTTGGATCAGGTGCATCTTAACTAATACTGAAAGTGGGGACTTATTTTTTTAGTACTTTAGAGAGGTCTTCTTCAGATTTCCCAATGCAATATATCATTTGATTTCTTGACTATTATATGGGCATGGATTATCAATGAAAGTGGAATAAATTCTTCACAACTTCAATCTTTCATCTACTTCTCAGTTGTTGCCTCTTGGTCCTACTGTATGTTTTCTGTTTCCTTTATGTTGAGTTTCTGGTGCTGCTACATTGCCAGCCAAAAGGCTGCTTCTCTGCAGTACAATGAAGGAGGCAAAAACAAGGCCATGGTTATTAACAGACTGAATTGAAGGTAAACAGTAGCTAAGTACTAGGTTGCTTTGGGTTAAAAGTAACGTAACCATGCATTTAGTAGATAAATTGATGACAGACTAACAGTGGTAAGGGGAGTTACAGGAATAAAAAAAATCAAATAAGATTTTTTTGTGTGTGTGTCCCTCCCCATAATTTTTTTAATTAATTTTAATGAAAGTTTACAGAGACTTAGGGTTTCCATTCATTCATTGTTGCATTTTTCTCCCTACCTACTTCTCCCTCCCCACCCCATTCGCTCTTCTCCTTGAAACGTAAAAGAAAATACCTAATCATATATCCGTTTTAAACAGTTCTCTCCCTCATCTGTTTCAATGCAGTAGACATCTTTATCCCCTTTCTCAGACTCCCGTCAACCCCAATGTCAGTCCCATTTTACAACAGTGACCCTATGCAATATTTGTCTTTTTGTGACTGAGATATTATACTCAGCATAATGTTCTCCAGGGTCACCCATTTTGTATAATATTTCATGAGTTCCTTGTTTTTCAATGCAGCATAGTATTCCATTGTGTGAATATACCAGAGCTTCAAGATCCATTCATTTGTTGATGGGCACTTGGGTTGTTTCCAACTCTTTGCTATTGTGAACAAAGCCACAATAAACATGGGTGTGCACCAAATATGATTTTTAATCCAGCTTTAAAAACACTAATTTTTTTAAATGTAATTACATATCAAGTTAAAATAAACTCCTTCAATACAATTGGTTAATGTGTTTTATAAAGTCTTTTGTATAGCTCAAAATAAAAACTACAGGACACAGACCATATAATATCTATAGAAGCTGAATGTTAGCAGTAAAGGTTGTTTCGTGGGACTGTTTCACAAATTAAATGAGGCTTGAGCAATTTTTTTTGGTATGGCATATATGAAGGTATTTTTGGTGCTCTTTAAGCAAAAAATAGAAGTTTATGAAAACTGTTGATTAGTTTTCAAACTACAAATGTGAGAAAACAATTACTTTCATCAATATGTACATACATTCATTTAGAAATTACAAATTTGACTCCACAGCACATAACAATGAGGACAATAGGCTACTTATATAGTTACATATATTTACAGTACTTACCTTTGATGATCCATTTGAATACATCTGTATCATGTTCTCTGCACCTTGTTTTACTTTAAGTTCTATATCCAATTGTTTTTGTAAGGCCATCAATCTATTACTGCTAGTAGAACAACGAGGGTCACTATTTGGAGTATCTGGAGTCCGTGGGCAATCTGTAGATAAAAATATTATGTTAAAATTATGTACTAGGCCAAATGGTTATTTAAAATTAGAAGATAATATTTTCAAAATATAAAGGATTTGAGTCAGCATGAAGTCACCCATATGAAATATCCTTATGTTTTCAGAAAATACAAGAACTCAAGCAAATAAAATATTTAAGTTCAGCTCTGGAACTATCAGGGGATACTGTGGTAATGAGAATGCTACAGGATGCTGTTAAGTGTCCTTGAGTTTACTACAACTCATAGTGACCCATGAAGAACAGATCTAACCCTGCCCTATCCTGCCCCATCCCGATGATCTCGGATATGCTTGAGTCCACTGGTACTCAATCCAGTTACTCTGTCAATCCATCTTGTTTAAGACCTTGCTCTTTCTCTGACTCTCCACCTTTCCCAGCATGATGTCTTTTTTCCAAGGACTGCTCCCTCCTGACATGCCTAAAGTACATGAGGTGAAGTTTCACCATCCTTGCTTCTAAGGAAGTTGATTGAATTAGATGATTAATACACAATTTATCCTTGAAACAGTTAATCCCCTACACTGTTGGCTTAGTGGTAAGAAGTTGTGCTGTAATCCCAAAGGCATATGGTTTGAACCTACCTGCTGCTCTGAGATAGATGGATGGACAATCTCCTCCTGTGTGATTTATTGCCTCTGAAAACTCTTTAGATCAGTTCTGACTCTAGGGTACACACCACCACCACCACCAACATGGATCTATACTAGACTTTGTATATGTATTTATATATAGGCTAATTCAATAAGCATATGCAGATGTATAGATATATATTAATCATTAAAATAGCTTTTTCAAATTTTATAATCCATATTTTATTTATAAGGAAACAGGTAAAGTCACAGTTATTTCTAGGAATTCAAATCAGGAAAGGATTCCATTTTCACTGAATTTATATTACAAATAATCTGCTCCAAACATCACTTTCTAACACACGTACACGGTTACAAGTAAGAATCATTCCTGACAGTTTCTTTCAACACTTGTCAGGGTTTCGAACCATTTCAAGCCCAGTTCAGTTACGGCTAAGGATATGCTACCACTAGAACAGATTACAAATGTTAAAGTTACAGTGATGATCTGCAAAGATTGCTCCTATGCTAGAAAAATGTAATCTACTTATTACAGAAGAAGGGCAATGTATAACTCGTACAGCAAACAAATCTCTTGCTCTTAAATTTTGAACACAGTATGAAATTCAGCTCAAAAACTGGAGCCAAATATATCATCGATCTTCTACAGTCCTGTCAATAATCCAATCTCATGCTTCAGGGTCCTGAAAAAGGCTTATGTATGTCTCTTCTGAGCTCCCATTCAAGGGCTTCACAGACCTGCAATTTTTCCTATTTTGTATAGCAGGTATTGTGCTGAATCTGCCAAATTAAAAACTTTGGACTCTTTTCTTGTTTCACATTTTCTTTGAAGACAGAATTGGTTTAAGGAGCAAGTAGGAGTTGTCCTACATTAGACATATGCAATCCATGGGCTACTTTATCATTACAGCAAGTTGTTAAAAAAAGTAGCTATATCATCAGAGGAGGTCATAAAAAGAACTATTTAACACGTAATTGATATCATTTCTTGGTTAAAAGGGTCCAAATTCTGGTTCTTAACAACCATTTAATAAAAATAAAGTTATTTTTAGCTCCATATTCTATTTTCCCCATCTCTTAAATAGCAATAATAGAATATACTTCACAGGATTATTGGGAGGATTAAATATGTGTAAAAAGATCCTGGGAAAGAACATGGTGTATGGTAAATATTCAATAAATAATAACTATTAGCAGACACTGTAGTAACCGTAAGTGTATCTCAGCTAAGCACATATCAACTGCACATCCTCTAAATAATGAAGTGTGTTAAATTCTAGGAATTACTTTTTCCCTTTTCTTTTGTTTATGATATAAATTTCTTGAAAGAAAAATGACAAAGAATTTGGTATATTAATTTATAGAGGGCCTATTTTTTTTTAATTGAGAAAAATGGTAAAAGGCATTTCTTTAGCAAAGAAAACATCTTGTTTGTGGAATAAAAACCACACCAAACCAAAAACCAAAAAACTCCAAAAATGTATGGCATTGTTATGTGTCTTTGAGTCTCCTGCAACTCATCACGATCCTATGTACAACAATCCTAAACCTGCTGTATCCTGTGCCACTCTCACTGTCTCTGACACACCTACCCTCAATTCCCCAGTCACTGAATCAATCCATCTCATCAAGGGTCTTCCTCTCCTGAGCTATACCTCCAATCTCCCAGGCATGACATCCCTCTCCAAGGACTGGTTGTTTCTTGCAACATGTCCAAAGTATGTCAGACAAAGCGTGAGAATCCTTGCCCCCAAGGACCAACGTGGTTTAACCCTCTACAGGATGAATATGTTTATTCTCTTAGCAGTCTATGGTATATTCAATACTTTCTGCCAACATCACAGCTCAAAGGCATCAATTCTCCTATCATCCCTAGTCTTGTTCAGATCTCTGACTTACAGCAAGTGATTGAAAAAACCATGGCCTGTATCAGAAGCATCTTAGTCTCCAGACTGACATCGTTGCTTTTCAGTACTTTGGAGAGGTCTCGGAGAGCAGACTTTCCCCATCACAATATGTGTTTTAATTTCCTGACTGCTGGTGCCAAGAGTGTTGACTGTGGGGCCAAGCAAACTAAAGCTGTGAACAATCTCAATCTCTTCACCTTCTACCATGATGCTGCCAATTGTCCCAGTGGTGAGAATTTTTGTTTTCTTAATGTTGAACTTCAATCCATATTGAAGGCTGCAGTCCTTGACCTTCTGCAACAAGCACTTCAGGTCCTCCTAACTTTCAGCACGCAGGGTTGTGTCATGTGTCTAACACAGACTGTTGATCTTCCTCCAATTCTGATGCCACATTTCTCCTCATAATGTGCAGCCTTCTGGATAATCTGTTCTGTATATAGATTGAAAAGGTACGGAGATAGGACACATCCCTGGAATAAACCCTTCCCAATTTTGAATGATGCCGTGTTTCCTTGCTCTGTTCTGACCACTGCTTTCTGGTCTAAGTACAGTTTTCACATTAGCACAATTAAGTATTCTGGGATTCACATTCTTCTCAGAGTCAGCCACAGTTTGTCGTGATCTACACAGTCAAATGACTTTGCATAATCAATGAAACACAGACATTCCTCTGGCATTCCCTGCTTTCAGCCATTAATAATGAGTGAGTGGAATGCAAAAGTTGGGAACAGAAGCATCAGTAGTTGGAAAACATGGACTTGGTGACAGTAATGAAGCTCAAATAGAATGACAGAATTTTACATAATCAACGATTTATTCATTGCAAATACGTTGTATAAGAAACATCAATACAGGTTATACACATGGATTTCACCTGATGGTATGCATAGGAATCAGATTGATTACATCTGTGGAAAGATCCGTTGGAGAAGCTCACTATCAGTTGTGAAAATTAGGCCAGGTGCTGATTGTGGAACAGACCACCAACTACTTATAAGCAAGTTCAAGCTGAAACTAGGGAGAATGAAATAAAATCCACAGGAACCAAAATATGACCTAGAGTCTATCGCACCTGAATGTCAAAATCATCTCAGGAACAGGTTAGAGGCCTTGAACACTAATGAGTGAAGACAAGATGAGCTATGGGAGGATATCAAGAATATCATTCAGCAAGTGTATGGCATTAGATGAGATTAACATTTTTCTTTGAAAGAAATTGTATCTTTCTCTACAGGGAAGGGAATCAGAACCAACATAAAAAAATAGTGATAACAAAAATTTGTGATAAGACAAAAATAAATTCCTTACATCTTATACTATGTAAAAATACAATGGGTCTGCCCATTTTAATATAATTTAATTTTAATATATTAAAATTAGGCCTTTAGGAATATTTATGTAGACACTAGATGGCAATCTGTTAAGAGATGAAATACAAGAAATACCTGTACTTTCCAGCATTCTTTGATTCCTTTTGTGTATATAACTATAATTGTTATGTTGTTATGTTCCAGTGAATCAGGGCCTACTAACCTCCCAGCGAGTTTTCAGAAGTTATAAATCACATTGGAGATTGCCCATATTTCTCTTGAAGCATTTAAAATAGTACTAATTATATTTTTTAAAACCCCGTCTCTTTAAATGATTTAACAGGGAGCTCTGGTGGCATAGCCTGTAGGGAGCCTTGCCTTTAACTCTTAGGTAGCACCTTTCTGGTAGTTTGAATTGACAAGTGTTTCTGAGAGAAAGATGCCGTGAGATTTACAACCTTGCAAAACTCAAGGGAAGGACAGCTATGAGTTGATTCTGACTCGAAAGCAATGAGGGGATAAAACCTCCGGAACACAATTCCACTCTGCTCAGACACACACAGGGTTGCCACTGCTGGAATCACCTGAATGGGCAATCTCTTCCTGCACAATTTATAGCCTCAGAAAACTTAACTGGTGCATCAGCTATACATCAGTTCTAACTCAACAACAAGGAATCTGAGTTTATTTTCTAAATGGAAAAAGAGGATATAAGGTTTAATAAGGGTTACAGAGAATGGGACTGTCCTTGGGGTTGGGGAGAGACTGAGTAAGATGGGTTCAATAATGTATACTGCACTGAAACAGAGGAGGGAGAGAACCGTCTAAAAGAGAGATGTAACTGGGTATTTCTGTCATCACAGGAGACTAGAGCGAGGGCTGCATGGTGGAGGGGACCTGGGGGAGGGTTTGTAAAACAATGAAAGAATCTTTTCTTTTACTTTTCCATAATTTTTGGACTCATGTACTTATAACTTGTTAGTCAAATATGTGTCTTCTAGGTTGCAACACCCCATGATACATCTTGAAGGATATGTACATGTACAGCCAAGCACAATCAATAAGAGTGCATCTGAATTCCAAAATCAAATCAATCTCCATAATAGTCTATGTGTTTCCTACTGCCAAAGGGGCCCTTTAGAGTAGTGAGAGAAGATCTTC